GCACTTACCTTTGATTTCTGGTCTAGCTTGTTGCATTTTCAGTGCTATGTTTTCACTGTGATGCCCTGATGTTCTATTGCGGTTTTCCAAGCCTAAGTCTTCCATTAAAAACAGCTGGTGAGACTGGTGAGCTGGTGACTACCTGTTTTGAGGCTTAAAGCACTGACGTGAAGAGGGAAATAAAAACAAGAAAGCATACAATCAACCCAGAAGCCATATAGGCCACTGCATAAATTAAGTGAAAATTTTGACCTCTACCCACCACTCACAAATTAAAGACCCACCAATACAGCTGTTAGTCTGTCTGAAGCTGTGCACATTCACTCAGTGGAAAGACACCACCAAGAACTATGAAATTTGATATTAGCAGGTGGGCCAAGATTGTGTACTGTGTATTTTGGTGTGTGAATTGTGTATTTTTTATCTCATTTGATTAATCATAAAGTTCTGGCAGAGTTCCTTGTGCGATACGATCGTGTTCTAGCCACATCACTGTGCTTATCCTGTACTCCCTTTTCAGGTAAAACGAGTGTTATAATGCCGAGGAAAGAGCAGTATAACTGAAAACTCCAGCCATTGAGAATTTGTACATCTAATACATACTGTACGTTAACCAAATGGTAATAATTTTGGCATCAATTATAGCATTTTGCACTGAAGAAGAGGGTGATTTGCAAACTTTTGTGCACCAGGATGAGTTGAACTGCCAATAGGTTAAAGCTGCCCGCAGGGTAGGTATCAAACTTTCAGATTTCTTTATCAATAATTCAGGCTTCGTGCTTTTGGGACTCGTCATAGCACTGTGACAGGTGACAGGGACGAGGCTCTAGGGCAACACAAGAGGGTAATTACAAGCACTGCGGAGACACGCACATATAAAGCAGCTTCAAATGCTCATATTAAGCAGGCCGTACTGCATTGTGTTACTACATGTTGCACTATTAAATCCCCCCAATAACTCAAGTGTTTGAGTGATAGTATGTATCTCGTCACATGTAAGAAAATCACAAGACCTATGATTGTTGGGGCTGTATCTGAGGTCAAGTCCATTTTATTACTTGTCCTTTGGATGAAGACTGTCTCTCTTGATGACCTTTACCAACCTATTGCTAGAGAAGAGCCTGCTATCACTACTGACCTTGACAAAGAGGTCTTGACTTGACTTGATCACTTGACTGACCTTGACCTGCTTCACTTTAAGTGATCCCTGCTGTCATATTTCCAACTAACACTGTCACCTACAACTTTGCCTTTCTCCCATTTCTAGTTCCCCGGAGGATGTACAGCTATACAGTCTTGCACAGCCTACCTTTGAAACTCAATCAGAAGAAGAGCCTTAATTGCATCTAAACTACAGGCCACGGCCAAACACATTTGGGGGGAGAGATCCTAAGGAAACTCCATTCAAAGCCATTTTTAAATCCTGGCTAGTATAAATCTGGGCATTGCACAAATCCTGTGCCACACGTTGACCCTAATAAAGTAGCCATAACAACAGAGTACTAGATTCAGCTAGAGACTGCTCAATCCATATTTGAGAATTAGATGAGGGAGATACTCAGGCTTTAGGGCATAGTGGTTCCCACTTTACTTCCCTCTGAAAAGCGTAGAGAGGCCCTTTCAGAAAGTGGAAGTCGTTTCTAAAGGCAAGCCTCTCCCTGAAAGGCAACAGTATGTTTCAAAGCAGAACGCACAAAATCCTCTAAGAAACAAGTGAGGAACTGCCAATGACATGAAAGACTCCTTGGAATTCAGAATGCTCTGCAGGTAACCTTGAAGTCCTGCTGATGAGTAAATTGAGCTGCATTTATCCCACTCAACACTGCCCCACACGTTAACCGGGGAGGGCTTATGCTATGATGAGGCCCATGTCATGACCACCAGGCAGCGGAGATCATCTCGCAAAAGAGCTAACCGGTACCAGCAGCAGTTAATAATAATAACAAGGTAATTGCAGCGCTATTTAAACCATCCTAACCCGCTTCCCGCTGCTCGGTATTGAGTCAACTCCCTGAGAGCTCTACCTGGCGATTCCTAAACCTTGTGTCACTCTGGATTTTGGGCTACCCCTTCTCCCTTCGACCACCATCTCGCCTCTCGATTCGGATTGTTCGCCTCCGGTGTCTGTCTTGGATTTCGACCCTCCTTACTCTCATTGACCACGATCTCGCCTCTCGACTTGGATTGTTTGTTGCCGTGTCTACCGGCTAATCCTGCGGCTGCTCAGGATCCATATCTCCTCATTAGTGTATCCTTACAGCCCAGTCTCTTTGCCCTGCTGTGTGCCCGGGCTTGGGCCGGCCAGCGCTGTCTGTTCCGTGACCGGGGAACCGAAGTGGGCAGAGAGAGAGAGAGAAAGGAGAAAGAGCAGGTTCTCTCTCTCAGCACTCATCTATATTTCATGGCTCTTTCAATTAGCGTCAGTGGAACTGGGGAGTGGGGAAGCTTCTCTGTCTCCACTTGCCGTCTGCGCTGGGTGACTCTGCCCCCTTCACTGGATTGTCCACACTGCACTGACCCTTGCCACCAATCAGGGAGGGATGGGGGGAGCCCACTGCCAGCGGGACCGTGGGACGCTGGGGGAAAGCCTGTAGCTCTGAAGGTCACCATCCGCAGTGAGGCCTGGCCTCCACAGCTTGGTCCTTGGCTGGAGCACAGTCTATTGTGGGTTTCAATGTGTCTTCTCTTCATCACGCTGCCCACGTTTTCCTCTGTGATTATAATGCAGCTGTATTTTGTGTTTCAAAACAGCGCACTAAACACTTGGGAATTCTGCAGGACACCGGAATATCTTCCCCTCTGCACTCCTAGGGGGAAGAGAGTGAGGAGTTGTGGTCTGGTAAAACACAAGGAAGAGATGAACCTGACACTCTATGGAAAGCATCCGATTGAAAAAAACAAAAGAAAACTAAACAAAACACAGCCGGCAGAGATGTTGTGAGTGAAAAATGAATGATCAGCGACATTATACCTTAAAAAGTAAAGCAGCGAGTCTACCTGTCTGGGTACTGTATGTATGATTTTTTTTTTTATCAGTTCCTTCCCCTGACCTGTTTCTCAGAGCCTGGACAGTGCTGGAGCAGTTAGCTGTGTATGAGGGTCTAATGAGATGTCTATCACCTCAGTCTAGACTGCTCTTCCCTGTGAGTTCAGCCTAAGCAGCCTGAGAGATGATATCAGTGACACCCTGGGAATTGTAAAAAGCCCTGGCAGGGCTGGAGTTGCCTTTTCTGCACTGATTCCGGCGTGATGGATACAGCCTGTCTGCAGCCCAGCATGGCAGGATTTTCTGCCTGCCTGAGAGCAGATCGCGTCGCTCTGCTGGGACTCCGAGGCTCAGAAAAGCAACCCCCGAGCCCACCCCATTGCTCCACGTCCAACACAGAAAGTATCCAGGGAAGCGTCACAGAAGAGGAGCCGGTGGCCCGCTGTTACAAATATGTAAATGATACTCCAAATCCCCATCCCACCCATACATCCTAAATTGGTTTGACAAAGAATTGAGCTGTAAGCCAAATACGGCCTTGTCACAGACGACTGAATTTGTGGTTGCGTTCCAGTCTCGTTATAGCCTGCGTTTCTTTTTCTTCAATAATGTTTTCAAGCCTTTCCTGACAAGGCTGTAATACTCCTTTGCCATTAAAAATAAAAGGAAAGGAAAAAGATGGAGCCCAAAGTTCCCAGTCCTGTTCACAATGGAACCAGACCCAGCCCGTAGTGTCGTAGACTGTCACTAGTGACGGCACGCCGGAGGGGCTGCCGAATGTTAATTCGATCACCTCACACACCCCGTACACATTCTTTACAGCAGCAAACACACACAGGTACAGTTAGTTTAAACTGCGGACCCACCACACAAAACATGAACAGAACCAGCTGGCCAGCACCTGTATCAGTAGGTGTACTGCAATCATAATACACAAATGTGAAGGGTTTCTACACAATGTGTGTCTTGTTTTCACTGAGTTTGGATATACATACTTAAAAGTAATGGTCTGTTCACATGAAGTTGGGAACTGGCATTTATTTATTCTTTGTGAGAGCTTGACCGGAATAACGCAACATTCTAATGTTCTCCATATGATTTAAAACCCTAAGCCATTCTTTATTTACAGAGACTGGACGAGTGACAAGGGCTTCTTCTGAGTATGAGAAACTATCGGGTTATTTTGGTTAGTTATGGGCTATTGGTTATGGGGTAATGGTTTGATGATTTTCTGTTACTCTCTTTCTAATTTGGTCCATGACCGAACTCTCTTCTGCTTACCTGATGCTGCTTGGATCTGAGCCTGTCGCAACAGTATATTCAGTTCCAGGCTTGTTTCATGCTGTTGTGCGTGTCTTTACAGATCATTGTCTACTTTTGCTTCAGGACAGTTCTGCTTGGCACAACTAATGGAAAAAGGACAGTAGAAAGTTATTAGTGTTACACATAGTTTCAGTAGTAATTTTGGGTTCCCCACCATTCTTTTCGAAACAATAAATTCCAGTGTTTTTTAATCCTTTCCTATAGAATTTCCTTTTCAAACAGTAAGCCACATATCATATCAATTTTGCACAAAACTCTCTTCAAAAAGTAAATAATGCAACTAACTGACTCTAGCTCCTGACGTTTAAATAGGAAACTGACAAATCATCAGTGAACAAAAGGAATAAAAACATTAGAACAGACTTTTCAGAAGTTAATTTGTCGCATGTTCAATCATGAGCGTCACATAATGACTCTGTACGCACTACCTGGAAGGGAGTTAGGGACATAATGCTTTTTCAGATTATTCGGACAGAATTTTTTTGTTAATGACAAGAGACATTGAAAAGAGCATAGAACCACAAGGAAAGACCTAACAGATAATTGCACTGTGGAGCCCTAAAACTTCTAATGTTACAGACACCAGTGCACACATTGGGGTTGTCAATGTCTATTCAATAAATGGTAACTAGACCCTCTTAACTAAGTCATGATGGAATTAAGCAATTGAGACACATCTAGTAGAATTTTAGTCTGTGTAATTGGGAGTGAGGGGGGATTTTCTACATGAACAGTTTATTTGCTTGCACGCTCTTGTTTTGTAACAGTAGAATGCACAGCCTCTGATACACTGGCTGCCTGCGTGCCTTTCACACCAGTTCCATCAGTGTGATACTGAGGAAGACGGATGGCAGGGAGCTTGTTAGTGGAGAGTTTCTGATGTTGGAATGGAACAAGAGGGAATGTATCTCTGTCCCTTGTAAGGCCCTTTGGTGCCAGGTGACACATTCATGGTGAGCCGGGCCAGGGACACACAGGGAATGAAACACGTCCCCACACGCTCCTTCATCAGCTGCAGAGACACCGGCGCTCTCTCAGCAAGCGCTCCTGCGTGCCCGGAATAGCACAGGTGAGGATCTACGCAAATCCTTCGCAATCCATTGCCCCTCCCCCTGCAGCACGCCCGGAGAGAAACGGTCCTGTCAGTTTTCCCCTCATTACCAGTCTTGCTCTTCTTTTCGATATCCATGCTCTTTTTGAGTGAACCGCACAGTCTGGAGTGGAGCCTGCAATCTCAGAATCATCAGCATTGCTGTTTATATAGTGTTTATCGGGGGATCTGCTTACAAGCCTGATAAAGTGTATACTCTGAAGAAGAATTGCCCTGTTTAGAAGCAAAAAAAAAAAGATGCCTGTAACACTGAGCTGCTGATATTATGACCTGCCAGTTTTCACTGGGCTCTGCTCTACAAAGTTATCCACTGCGATCAGCCCCACTACTTTGAAGCACTTCTCATTAGTCACAGTTACTAATTACTCTTTAGTAAAAAGTAATTATAGCCGCCACTTGCGTTGTTTTTCCATTACAATGTGTTCGGCTGACAGAGATATTTAATCTGCAGTGAGATTAGGGTTTTGGGACTGGGGATGGGGGGGGAAATGAAAGTTAATACTGGTGTCTTACCAAACGCCATTAATTACATCCTCCCTGCTCTCTTTGATAAACGGCAGTCCACAGGGAGGCACTGATCCAGTTTGTCTTTTCATCTCTGCAAATCAAAGGCAAGAGGAGAGAGACTGGGAGCAGGATGAGACCCACAGTCTAGAGGTTGCAAGTTCAGATCCGGGCTGTGCCACTTACTGCCATCTTGGGTTGGCGTTCGATTGGGGAACTGGTGACATGCTGCGCAGTCTCCCTGGAAGATGCACTCACTGAAACTCCCAAAGTGGTCTGTCTAGGACGGGGATGTACTTTGCCTGTAATTACAGTGTTCTTGATATATTTGCCCAATCTAGGCCCATTTTGTTCCCAAATTCAGCATGATAATTGAGTCCACCTCTGCTGATGTTTTTTTCATCAGCTTCAACGTGCTGTAATTGTGAACTCTCTGAAGTGGTTCTGTTTCGTGTGCGCTGCCATCCTTCCAAGATAACGCCAGATACATTTTATCCCTTTCTCGCATAAGAGTGGAAGAGGCAAAATGACAGAGCAGAGAATAGGACTGCGTGGAGTACTGAGGAGAAGAGAGATGCTTGTTCTCTGGGTCGGTGCTGGGGAGAGAGCTGAAGCAAAAGGGAATGTTGCTTGTTACAAGAAACATCCCCTTTACAAACAAGATGTAGAAATGTGGTTCACCTTTAATAAATAAAAATGGCAGACAAAGACAAACGCGCCCCCAGACTCGTGATGACTTGACATTCACCACCACCCACCTCAGATGGACTGGTAATGAGTTTACACTGACCTGCGATGAATTCGCAGACACATCCTCCGCCCTTAGTAGGAAGATCAGTGATAAAGTTGACTGGATCAGCAGCGGCTTCGCTAGACCTACAGCTCAGGTTCCAGGGGAGAGCTCACAGTACAGCACTACAGACACCGGCTCCCTCTGTGAATGTACACCCACTGGGATACTGACAGCTGTAGCTGCACCACAGCATCAGAGGAGATAACAAGCCTTATTAAAAAGAGCGTCTCACACAAATTCACAGACACACACACACTCACTCAGACTGAACACGTAAACACACAGTGAGAGCATACAAAAGAGCTTAAAAAACCAGCAACTTCTTCTCTTTATTTATTTAACAGTCACCAGATGATTGGATACATTCTCTTAAAAAAAGAAAAAAGAAAGGAAACAATGAAACCGATATTTGTTTTTTTGTTAAAAACTATTATACAATATTCTCCTCAATATAGATTTTGTACAAAAATTAAAGGTTCATAAAGGAAAAAAGTATGATCCAGTAATAAACAAAGGATATAATGTGGAAGGCAGGATACGAAGGGGAGGCTACCACACTTAGGAAGATAAAAACCCATTTCTTTGAATTAATAAATATATAATATGTATATATTTATATAAATACCAGGGCATTTCTTCTCATGGTATTTCCTTTATTTCCATAAATCACTGGGCCACACACAGACATTCACCTGACACTGAGAAAAGCACACAAACCTCAGGAATTTGTCTTAAGAATCAGATCAGATGTATCAGACCCTATTTCTGCATTCAACCTCCACTGCTCCCTGAACAAAAATCCTGAAAGGGGGAAGAACCCCCTCTCTAATTAAGAAAACCTAAAGCATTTGATATCTGAAAAGGTATAATCATCTGTGACTTTATCTCTGTTGCACTTGTTTGACATTCAGGGTACGGGGTGCAGTACAGTTCTCAAGTCAAGTAGCCGTATCTGCCGAGGAACAGTTGATACAGTGTGACGTTTCACAGACATCACAGCCTGGAGAAGAGAGATTTGCCTTTCTAAAAACCTCTGTTCACTTCATAGGGGATGACACGCACTACAATTATTATTATGGGCAAGATAGCTTGTTTTACTTAAAACAGAAAAATAAAAGACAATCCCTGTCTTGCAGGAATAACACCGCAATGGCTGATCAGTTTGCTTGATATGAAAGCCACTGATATGTTAAAGGCAGTTTTCTTTCTTGATGGCTAATCCTGCGATTTGTTCAGATCTTCCCCTGCTCTTGCCGCACAAATAGTTGATCTGCTTTGTAATTATTCCAGTGGGACAAAAAAAGAAGAAGACAAGAGCATGGGAAAAGGATTGCTCAAAATTCGCAAAGAGGAAACGACAAACAGGCATAACACAAGTTTAAAGGTGCTTTATAAAAGGGGTAAAACAGCAGTATCACCAAACATGAAGCCTGTCAGCGTGACACTGTCCGCTTAGCTAAAACACAATAATTCACAATTTTAGAAAAAAGTTTCTTACAAATTATTTTTGGCTGGAACATTGCCAATAGCTTGAACTGGGGATAGATTGTCTGAGCTCATCCAATTTAGTTTTTTGTTAGTCTTTTTCCAACTGACCCTTGATCATTCCAGTGACCTTCAGTAGCAGGGTTAATCAAGTGATTAAGAATAAATTAAGCAAACCATGTCCTAGCTGGATCAATGTCTTACTTCCACGCTCACTTGCTCCGTAGGGATTTGCCGATTTGCACAACAAACAGGTTACGCTTGCTTACTCTGTTGCCCTGGGCCACAGGCTGGTTTGGGATCACTCAGGAATTCCAGCAACAGTCACCTAGCAGAAAAGCCTGGATCTCATGTAGCCATTTTTCTTGTTCTAAGCAACAGCAGAGGAATCAGCAGAACACCCATTACAGGAGACACAGCCACATTAAATTTGCAATAATGATGCACTGCCACTGCATCGCTTTGGAGATTAAAAGCAAGATGCTGAATTTCAATCAAGCACATTCATCTGCCAATGAGGAACAATCATCCTGTAACTATGTGAGCATACAGTTGACTTATATGCAACGACAGTCAAAAAGTGGAGTTTACAGATCCCAGACAATTAAAGGGCACCACTGCAGTCAACACATGTCCTGATACTCAGCGAGAAAACTAGAACACATGGAAAATCTAAAAAGGCATATGCATAAGAAAAGTTTGGAACACATTGTATCGTATATTTTGCACACATCCTAAATTCTGCAAAAGGGTGTTCAAACTTTTGTGACTGTATTTATGCATACAGTACAATATATCATTCTCCTACATTTTGTTATGATTTATACATAATACCATATATATGCATACACACATACAGGCGTATATACATATGAATATATATACATACAGTATATGCATATATAAAGTGCATGAGAATTCAGGGCTGACTGGAGATGAAGCCAGTGAGACTGTCTGAAGGAGTATGGATGGAATATGATAGTAGGTCTCCAGATTCCTGACTGAAAGAAAGAAAAGAAAAGAGCAGCAGTACAATGTGGTTTTGATGAAGTTCAGCGGTACATTTTCACTCAAGGGTTTTTTTTTTCTGCCATGAAACAGGAGGAGGGGGGGAGGGGGCACAACACGAGAGCCTTTAGAGCACGTTTGTATTTCTGCTAGGGAGGAGTCACAGCCAGCTGGTGCACTGGACGCACCAGTTCAGGGTCCTTCGCGCTGCTGGGAGCCATCCAGTGCCAGCCAGGTGGCCTTGCGGGGGAAGGTCTCTGCCAGGTCTCCGTGTGCCTCAGCCTGGCACCCAGCTCTGATTGTTGTGTGCCTGGGGAGGGCCGGTGAGGCTGCCCATGCCCATGCCCATGCCCATCCCCTGCGACACCGCACAGTCGAAATTGAAGTCCATCTCCTCGGAGTCCATGAAGTCGTTGAGGAGGATGGACTCCACGTCACAGTCCAGGCTGCCGTGGAAGATGTCCAAGTCCAGATCCGCTGGCAGCCGATCGTGGGGGTGGTGGTGGTATTGGCGGTGGTGGTGGTGGTGGTGGTGGTAGATGCTGCTCTGCGTGTGGTGGTAGTGCCCATGAGGGGAGTTGGCCAGGCCTTGGTGGTGGCCAGTGTAGGGTGGGTGGCGGGGGTGGGGGGCCGTGGCCAGGTGGCAGGAGTCCTGGGGCATCCCCAGCATGCCGGCAGGGTTGGGGGGCAAGGCAGTGGAGGCAGGGAGATGGGCATGAGCAGGGGGGCTGTACAGATCAGGGGCCTTGAGGCTGTAGGGCTGGAGGAGTCCGCTGTTGACCCTGGGGGAGTGGGACTGGGGCTGGGAGTGGCCGTGGGAATGAGTACGGCTGTGATTGTGGTTGTGATTCTGGCTGTGACTTTGCGAGCCCACGCCAGTGCTGGTGGGAGCCATCAGAGAATCACCATCCTGTCCCATCCTGGGGCAATACTGGGAGCCACCAGTGAGCAGATCCTGCAGGGCGTTAGAGCTGGAGTATGACCTCATACCCCCCTGGAAGCTGGCAGGCTTGTTCTCCTGGATGGTTTGCATGGGTGAGTGGTGGCGAAGCATGGCCAGGGACGGGGGGCTGTAGACAGAGCCACAGTAGGAGCCCTGGGCCTTGGGGGGGGCATAGGGGAAGGCGGGACGCTTATGCCGTGGTTGAGGGGGATACCTCTCCTCCATCAGCCTCTCCTCTAGGCTGATGGCCCCAGTGAGATCAGCCAGCTGCGGCAGCTCCACCGGGGGGCAGTGGCTGCCGGTGCCCAGGGCAGGGGAACGGGCACTGGAGGGGCTGGGGTAGAGGCGGGGCGAGGTGGAGCAGGACAGCCCTTCCTCCGGCTCCTCCAGCTCCCCTTCGGCCAGTATCGGCGACAGCCTCCCGCTCATCGTGGAGGCCGAGGAGCTGGCCCGGGACCGGATGTCAGTCCAGGCGTCGAACTCCTCCGCCCCGCCCCCGGGCCCCTTCTCCCCCGGGCTGCCCCGCTCCGGGGAGCTGCGCAGCGCCGCCGCCAGCCCGCCCCCCGCCGACGTCTTCTTCTTGCTGGCCCGGCCCTTGCTCTTCAGGTACTTGGCGCTGTTGTCCATCGACACCGCCCGCCGACGTGGCGCCTTGCCCGCTTTGCCACCCTCAGGGTTCAGCATCCACCAGGAGCTCTTCCCTGTGCCCTCGTTCTGCACCCGGATGAAGCGCGTGTGCAGAGACAGGTTGTGCCGGATGGAGTTCTGTGGGCAGAGGCAGGGAGAAGATGGAGAGGAAGGGGGAAGAGGAGGAGGGAGAAGGGAATAAAGAGAAAAACAGCCTATTAGAAAGGCTTTTGACGCATTTTCCACACACGGGAGGAACACCAGAGTGACAGCAACAACCCGAAAGATACATCTTCACTCAGGTCTATTACTGCTGCGCCAGGTTCTTAATGGACTATGAACAGCTCCTGCACAAACATGCTGTTAGCTTCAGTTCAAAACAGCCCAGCCAATCAATAATGACAAGCAACCTTCTGATCAATTGGTGATCAGCCTTCTCAAAGTGCTTTACAATGAGTCATGTTGCAACAAGGCTGTAGTAAAAGTGCTTAAAGAGAGTTATATACAACATCATAACAAGAAATACTGGGCTTAATTCCATCCATTCATTTTCTAACCACTTTATCCAGTACAGTTTTGCAGGGGAGCCGCAGGCTATCCCAGCAATCAACAGGTGTAAGGTAGGACATATAGCCTGGACTGGACGACAGCGGACACACAAGGACCAACTAGACCAGAGCCAATTTTCCCAGAAGCCCATTAACCCACCAGTATGTCTTTCATCTGTGATAAGATATCCGAGCACCCATGTGAACATAGGGAGAAAATCCAAACTCCACACAGAGAGCAAACTAGGTTAGGAACCCAGAGCACCAGCACCGCAAAGCAGGAATGAATGCTAACCACCCTACCACCTTTAAACCATTCACTTTATCAAAACGTTCGCACGGTTGCAAAGGGAACGAGATACGTGTAAGTATACGGGAGAAGACAAATCAGCAGGTGGTGATCTACCTGGGTGGGGACACTCATTCCCATACGGTCCTCCTTCAATCAAAGTGCAGTTTTGTTGTGGTTGAACTGATGCAAACAGAGGTGAAAAAGAGGCTTGGCAGTACATTAAAAAAATGCAACACAGCGAACGATCCGACTGAAATCATGTCCTTTCAAACTAGAAATCATGCAAAAGCTCCCTAACTTCACTCACAGAAAACTTGCAACCTGTCTGTACCTGACCTTGCCAAACAGCTCCCAATCAGCCCAGGGAGACAGCTGCATCAGTCCTTCCCCACCCCCTCTCTTTAACGGTGTGAATGTCAGATAATCCCAGGCTTGTCTCCCTTCACTTCAGTGGTGTTTGAAGCCGATACCAGCCTGGCGTGGGCCCAGCTGACTCTCCAACAGACTGAGAGTGGGCATCAGGCTGACTGAGCTGTGTGCAGGGCTAACAGTGCCCACTGGTCCACACCCCCTCATCGCTGCACCCATATTCTCTCCAGCTCACTGCATAGACTCATAAAGCAGAAGGGTAAAAACAACAAGGGGAAATAGTGTTCTTGCATGGAAAAAAAGCTGATGTCATTCTACTTTTCACCCACATTTCATCGCAAAACCTTTTAAACACATATGTATTGAGAAGGATCCTGTGTTGTCATTTCAGCTGTTATTTTTCTCAGTCGTTTGCCGTTTTTATGGAAAATGACTTTTCAAAAGACATGTCAGGGCTAGGAAAAGTAAAAGGAGTATAAAATGAACGTTGCACTACCCAAAAGCATCGTCACAACAGCCTTTGATGATTCTTGTTCTATTCCGGAATCATCTTTACCTTTTCCATCTCCAAATAAATGCTATCAAAAATCTGGAACATTGAGATTGACAAAAACAAACATTTCCACAGATACTGCGATATCACTTATAACTGCAAAAAAGCACACTTTTATTAAGACAATGTCAAAAAGTATTTTGTAGGAGGTGCACTGACATTTTATTGAACAGTCCTGAAAATTAATTACGGTGATTAACCACTGTCATCAACAGTGTTGATCACCAGAGGACGTGCTGCGAAGTTCTCAGGCTGGTAACCAAGGTACAGGTGCTGTCTTTTGGGATTCTTATACTAATCCTCTTGTGGAGCCTGGACAAGCATGTGCCTGCTCACTGGTCTCTGAGCCCAACACCCCACATATTGTGCCTGCCCATCCCACACATTTTCAATGGGGCTCTTAACATGGCAGACAGTGCATCCTCAGCATAACTGTCCTAAAAAAGTTGTTGTTTGAAGAACACCATGAGGGCATGAAGAAAACCATGAGTTGTCATGTCATGATGAGTGCACTGGAGGAGCAGGGAGGGGAATTCCAGTACTTGATGAATCAATGCATCACCATGCCGTCAGTTTACCATCGACCACTACAAGTAGTGTACTGTTGTGGCAAGACACACCTTCCCTGACCATTACACTTGGAGCGCCCTACAGAGCTTGGAGACGTGCTGTGTTTTGCGGTCTTCCAGACCAAGGTTGGCTATATCATCTTTCCTGGTTAGAAACTGCTGGCTGTGAACACATGACAAGCAACTGTGTGGTGACTTTGTCAAACCTCCCATATACCACTGGCACAAAGGTATTATTCTCTTGATAAGCATGGTGGTGCATTTCTTTATTTTCACCTGCCTTAGAGATTTGCATATTTTCAGAAAAATGTGAATACATTTTGCTCTGGGCTAAAATGTTTTGAAAATCACATTGTACGTGTACAGGCAAATGTCTTTTTTTGGCTGGAAAAAGTGAATACGCGGAAGTAACAATGGTCATTTCAGTGGCAGCGCCTACCAGCACATGAACCTGAAAATATAGGTCACGAACAGAAGGAGTAAAGACTGAAACAATGGAAAAGCTTACTGTTTTTTAAAAATGATTTTTACAATTCCATGTTAAACCAACGCAGATCTTTTAATGAGTAGACATCCTGCTTCACTTGACAGTGAGGACCCAGCTGTGGCATCTGAGCAAGACACGCCACAGGCGACGAATTGTACCCTTCAGCTTTTGGAGCTCTAACACATTCCCCAGCTCGCACGGAGCCTCAGGTAGCTTTCTCAGAAAGCATGTTATTTCTTCCTGAAGCAGCCAGTCAGAATAGCACACTGCAGTCTTAGGCAGGAGCCAGAAAACAATCACAGTCCAGACCCCAGAAGGCAGGAAGCGGATCAGGTGATTCAGACTCCTCCTCCTTTAGAGGGTCTTACAGTGTGAACTCCAGCTGTGGGTTACCATGACGATGGAGTAAACCAGGAGGGGGAAAAAGATGCTGTTTCATGCAGCAGGTACCTTGAAACAGGCTTTCATCCATTCTGTCAGCCAGAATCACTGGAGTGACTCCATTATCACTGGGCTCTGAGATAGACCTCATTTGCACGGCATACTGTATTTCTCCAACACCTCTGCTCCCTCTGGCCACTTTATTAGGAACTGTCTACTGCAGTCACGCACTGATGAATGTACATATTCCATCTCTCACGATAACAGAAAGGCCCAATGTACTAATCGATACATGGTTCATACTATAAAGTCTAGCCTGTTAAATGTACACAAATGAATCAGTGGCAAATGGAGTATAAAAGTTTTAAGATTGGATAGTCTGTCATTGTCCAAAAGTACCAGTTCCTGCCAGTCTTATGTGTTAATGGCTCTATTAAGGACACACCTGCTTGAAATCATCATCCAGTATTGCCTTCAATTCCTTATCTGTACTTGTATGTAAGAAACAAATGTAGATTACATTCTAGATTTTCAATCTTGTTCTGTAAAACGTTGCTCTTTGTGTTTCTCTATATACACAGAGTGTATTTGTTTAGCTTCATAAATAAGAAGTGAAACTATTCATGAGCCTATTGAAATATATAATGGAATCACCATGTATGATTTATATTTGAACTGCTTACTTGACTCTACTTTAATGGACTCTTTGAAGAGCGTATTATAAATATAAAGTCAAGTCACTTCCCTCTGCTGTGTCTGCGTCAGTAACAGTCTGGTTAATGCTGTCCCTCATATCCCCAGAGGAGGCAATCACACTTAATCCTGCTCCATCCCAGGTAATCCCAGAGAATCCAGGCTAATCCTGGTTAATTCCGGGCACTCCCAGTTGGGTGTCTCCCAAACTGAGCTGAGAAATGAAGGGGTGTTGGTGGAAGGCAGCGGGGGATAACCAGCACATCCTCAGAGAGGGAGAGGTGGGGGGAAGAAGGTTTTATTTCTGAACCCATTAACTGGCCCATTTGATATGCAAATACTAAAATCAAACGAATCAGTCGAAATACCTCAACTAAAAGAATCCAAGAAGCGGATCACAAAGCCTGTGAGGATCCCGTGAGGTCTTAGATCTAAATGGAGCACACTGTGGAATCCAGTAAAAAGGAAACGAGAGGAATTCCCATCCCGAAGAGGAGAAATCCACATTGTCACGCTCCAAGAACCGAGTCCTTCAGATCTGGCAAAGTGTGAGCTAATCTGTTGAGACAGCACCGACACTCACTAATTTAACATGGGCTCCTGAAGTCAAAGCTCGAAAGAAAAGCAGCCATTAAGTTCACGCAGGGTATTATTAGTGACAGCCATGTCCAAAAGCACATAGTTCAGCTTAAAGTTTAACCCTTGTGTTTCCGCGCAGTGGTGAGCCCTGGGACTGAGATGCAGTGCTCCTCCAGTTGAGGCAAGGCCTCCTGGTGGGCACTGGTGGTGCATGAAAAGGTGAAGGAAGCTACAGTGAATATTCACGCTCCCCGATCCCCCATGACGGCACTGAAACTAGCTGCTTCCCAAGGACTAGCAATTCCACATTTGGAGGGTATATGCTGGAAAAATAATTCTATTTTTTCCAAACACCGCATATGACTCATCGCAGGCATCATTACACGAACTGTGTCCCCGGTTACTTGTGCGTTGTCCTGCTTCCACAGACGTACAGTAGGATTTCATTTTTGGGGTCCCCTGGCAGGTGGTGCTTCCGTCTTGCTCTGCATCTGGCGTGTCATGTTTCCAAGGCAAGTTCAAAATCTTGATCATAAGAGATTAAAATAATTCAGAAAGTGCAAGTGTCTTGATTTTGACAGTTGTGCAATCAACAAATTAGATCGAATATACAAATATAATCAAATCAAATATAATAGAATTATAAGCCCTTGGCCAGCTTCAGAAT